AATAGGAGCACTATTTATCAATCTGTAATAAAAGACGTGAGGAAATTCTGTCTTTTTTAAAGACAAAAATTTTTGAGGCGAAATACCCAAAACGAGTTTGTAAAAAAAAGAGTGATGTTTGTTTCGGAGTTATGTTTTCTTTTGCCTGCCCACGCAATTTTACGGCACACCACTCAAGTGGAATAACAAAATACAAAATTCTTGGTTCATTGCGCAGCTTTTTTTATTTCTAGCATTTCCTTTGCATCATCCACCGATTTATTATTTGCAAAAAACTAAGCAAAAAGCTAAATTCGAATTCATGCAAAATAAATCTGTTAATATTAGAGCTATGTCCGAAGCATTTAGCGTACTCCAAATCAAGTGCAGGCATTGTTAATCAATGTGCCATTAGTCTCCATGTATGCATTTGAAATTTGAGTTAAATGGCTCAAAAACTGCAAGAGTTAGTGAAATTAAAGAAAAATTCAATTTTCCTGCTTACAACCACATCACCTGGTATGCAGTTAAAACAGAGTGTTCCTTAGATATGCTTAAATACTTTGAGTGGTAGTAAAAGGCAGAAATACAAGCACGTTTGCTCCATAAACGTATGCCGGAAGACGCAGCGTTTTTAAAGCAGAGAGCGTTTGAGAAAAATGATAAAAAGTTGCACTCGATGTTTTGTACAAATTTCAATTTTTCTATGGAAAAAATATCTGAAAAATCAACTTTTTTGCCTCTTATTAAATTTTCGTATCACGTTTCGTTTTCAAAACAAAAACATTTATCCATCGAAAAACCAACTTTGCACAAATGTCAATACTGCGCTTTCCTCGATAATCTTGCACAGCTCAAAACATTGGCGCAATATTTATGAAACACTCTGTAAAGCGACAACTCAACACTTTTTCTTCTGCGACTTGAAATTAATTTAAGCTTTTTGTCGGAAAACTTGAAAATGTCAATTAAAAAACCGAATCTGAACCCCAAATACTTCCGTTCGTAACTGGGCGATTTAAAATTCAGAAACTTCTTCTTGCACAGTTTGCTTATGATAAAAGCTAGCAAATAATCGTCTTTTAGCATTGACAAAAGTGTATGCAAATTTGGCATTTTAGGGAACATTTCAGAAGCATCTTCTCAGAAGCATCTACTCGAATTTTGTCCACCCTGTACATACGCCCGGTTATTATGGGCAACTTTGCTAACTAACAAGCAATTCTAACTCTTGCATATTTTTAGATACGTATTTTCGATTTTAACCATCATTTAAGCTGTCGGGGATACATAACGGGTCAAACTGTTGTAAGAATATACAGGGTGATAGTTTTTAAGAGGTTAGGTCTTCTTTAATACTCAGAACGCGTTTCAATGGGAAGCTTTTTGGTCTCTAGCATTTTCTTCGTGTCAGTCACCGTTTTCCAGTTATTTGCAAAGGAATGAAAAATTGCACTCTTGTGCAATTTTTTTTCGAGAACCCAACTGAAAGGTAAAATTTTTGTCTCTTAATAATTTGGCGAATCAAGCTTTGTTTCGTTCAAAATAAAAGCATTTGCAGTGCAAACCGACTTTGCACAAATTCAATCCTGAATTTTCTAACACCCTCTAAACAAAAGTTCGGCACTCATCCACAAAACATGAACCCTTTCTCTTCATCTACTAGCAATTAATGAATCATTTTGAGTTGGAAAGCTTGAAAATTCGAAACGAAAAACACAATCCGACTGCCAAGTACTCCATTCCTTGACGATTTAAAATTCAGTCAGTTTACTTCTGCTTGCACAGTTTGTTTGTCATAAAAGCTGGCAAATAAATCGCGTTTCACCCCGACAAAAATTGTATCGGAATTTCGCATTTTAGTTGACATTTCAAAAAGCCCCGTAGCTGCTGGAAGACAATCAGGTAAATATTGAACGAACAGACAACGCGCAATTTTATCTCGCTGAGACAAACGTTTTCTCTTCGGGCGCTCTATTTGCTTGTTTTCCCAAATCAATCTGTGCAGGCTGCACCAAAAACGGAAACACCTTTACTAAACAATTTTCCAGCCATCGGGCTGTCGCTTAAATTGATTGATTTCGAGGCTTGTTTCGGTTTTGTCGCATTCAATTGCTGGTGAAAAATGTCCCCAATTCGGCTCATCTGCGACTAAAACGGTCTCCCAGAAAATCTCAATTACATTTCATAATTAAAAAGTGAAGAACATCAAAGGTTCCACTGGATTTAATGGCAATTTATTACATCCGCCACGCTAAATGTAGTATCTCAAAGCTTTCGCTATTATCGCAACTCAACACATGCTGCGATTTCTGCTTGAGAGCTTTAGACTCCCTTAATTTACGTGCCGACAGTTCCCTAGCTTATTTGTTCTTATATTTATATAAATTAGGAAATTTGATATGTTCCGCGCAATTAAATGGCCTTTGAAATGTAGGATTAATTGCCTAAATCCAGACCCGGCTCGACGTTCATCCTTCATTTTTATCTACTCCCATTCCCATATCCATTAATTTTCCTTGCCATGAAGGTATCAAACAGCTCACATATATTCAGAGACGCTTCCTCGCTCAGAACGCAAGCAAATTCAACGTTTTTTCTAAGAAAAACAAATAATTTTTCTGCTGCGAAAAACATCCAAATGAGCCTTGAAATTTGGTTGCTGGAACCCGACTCGTCTGCAATCGGCTTATGTGCACATTTAGTCAGTGCACTTGATGTTTACGGTTGATTTTGGTTAGCTGAGAGCATTTTTGCAGCTGCACAGTGTTTTCAAACGTTGCTTGTACAACAATCGTGATGTCGTCTGCATGTCCCAAAGATTTTAGCAACGAGTCAAATTGAACGCATTTAGAAAAATCGAATTTTCTGATAAACTATAACAGATAGTTAAGAAAACCTTTTAAAAAATCTGAAGATTTTATATGTTCCATTTGCAGAAACCTGGATTTTTTATTTGAAATTTGAACGTTTACTGCATCAAATACAAATATTTTGCCTGCAGTTTCTGGATATAGCGTGAATCAATTCTCCTGCCAAATTTTGCAGTTGTGTGAATAAAGATGATGGAAAAATTGCATACAGCATAAAATGACCCTCTACGCAAATAACTAAAAAACTACCCAAATTGCCCTCATATTTTGCATAAAGGCGAGTAATTAAAATTTACATAAAAATTCAAAAATTTTAGAAACAATCATCAATATTTTAAAAATAACTCAAAATATGCGCGTGTAGAACCTTCGAAATTTGATAATTGCAGTTTGGCAACAAACAATCCCGATTAAGCGCAAACTTACTTCCATTAATAAATGAGAAGTGAAAACAATTATTTGGCGTTGAGACAGTCAATCGGTACCATATTTGAACATTTTTCCGCAAATTCCACCATTACTTGACGAATTTTCGCTAATTTTATTAGAACAAAACCCCAATACAAATCGGACCGTTTCAAATTTCCATTGTACCTTTTGAACTGAAAATTATCCATTGTTGCAGGACAATTTTCTGGAAGCAGCGCCAGCGTAGCAGGATACAGCACCCTGAATAGCAGAAAATCTAGATCGAGCAGGATAAATAGAACAAATCGACAAAGCACCATTAATAAGTCCTTTGATAGCGACTGTGGTAAGTTTCAGTCAGTTCAGTTAAAATGTGCTAGAAAGTTGGAGTTTTTTAAATGCCCAATTGAAATAAACGGTTCACATGTGTGTTCCGTACAAATGCCTGTTGGGAAAACGACCCAAAATTCCACCATTTATACATTCGAGAAGCTTTCGAATGTTTCTTATTTGAGGCAAAAATGTTGTTGAGTAACAGAAACGAGCGCGGCCCAACAAGATAAATCGCATCCACAAGGCGATATGGGCACGTTCGAATTGTAATGGACCAATTTGTTTGTTGAGCGCTCCTCAAAAACGATGAGAAACACATAAATAACTCGTCTACTGCCTTTGGAAAAATACCACTGCCATGAACTGGATATAAATTTGAGGAATGCGGCTTCAAGCCCTTGCACGTAATCTGGCTCGTAAATTTGTCATATTTATGTTCCCGATCGTAATTATCAGGGTGTGTTTTGTTTTTTGTTTTGGAAAATTGCTCGGAACAGTCTCAAAAGGAACGAAAAAGATGGAAGCGCTCACTTCTTTCCATTTCAGCCACATTATCATAAAGCTTCTTGTTGCTGACGTACAATTAAATCCAGCAATAACTTGAGAAATTCACTTGCAAAGTGTTTTGCCGTGGCCGAAATGTTTGAAGCAACTATGCCGAGAAAATTATAATGTCGGTTGTTTTCGCTGGTGCGGGAAAACACAATAAAAATGGAAACTATTCGGTGCAAGATGTGGAGTTTCTTGACTTCTTGGATACTTCTAAGCCAGTCGCTCGCCACTGAGAAAGCATATTGCTCGGTTAACAACTAATTAAATTATAGCAGTTCCAAATTGGATGTTTCCGAGTTTTTCTTCAGATCGGTGCTATTGGACAGGACCGGAAATTAAGAAAATTGCCTGCAGAATTTGGCCAATTTCTTTACCTGGCTGGGTAATTTTTAATTTGGATTTTTTCATTAAACTAATGGACTAAGTCGATTAAAAAAGCTCAGTGCAAAGTGTACAGAGTACAATGTGAACGTGTTCTTTTTATGTGTTTTGTACAAACCAGAAAAATTTATTTTGCAGGAAACGCGGATTTGGGCCCATTATCTACATCGGGTCTGTCTTTGATTCACATCCCACACTCTTAATCTTTTAGCGATTTTTTTGCTGAATTTCTACTGTAAATTTGGACAAAAAAGTGAAAAGCATCGGCAAACACTAACAAAAATCTTGTCTATTTTATTTCAAGTTTTCCCTTCTTTTAGTGTATTTTTTTAGCTGTATTGTAACTGTAAATTTGGACTATTTGAAAAACTTCAGCGGGAGCTAAAAAAATCTATGACTTTCGTGTTTTATCGCGCTTTTCATTCTTTTACTGTTTTTTTGCTTTATTACGGTAAATTTTAAAATTTTAACGCGTTGAGAAACTCAGCCAAAACCAAATAAAAATCTAAGAATTTCGTTTTCCTCCCATGTTGTTCCTTTTGTTATTGATTTTTGTCTGAATTGCTACTCTACTAAAGAAATAAATTGTCTAAAAATCTCGTTTTCTTGCCATACTATTTCTTTTTTTATTGATTTTTTCCGCCAGTGTTACTACAAATTTGAACAAATTGTTAAAACATCAGCGCAAACTAAAAAGTATCTAAAAATTTCGTTGTTATCCGACACTTTCTCTTCTTTTATTGATTTTTTATTGCATTGTTCGTACAAATTCGAACAAGTTGAAAAACTTAAGCGTAGGCTGATAAAATATCGAACAACGTCGAGTTTTCCCCACACTTTTCTTTCCTTTCTTTACTTTTCCTGCACTGTTTTAGTCCATTTGAACAGATTGAAAGACATCAGCGAAAGCTCACAAAATAATCAAAAATGTTCTTTCCTCGAATGATTTTTTGCTTAATTATTATTTACAAAAAGTGCATTGACAAAACATCGACGTAAATATGAACCAAAAAATATGTTGAAAATTAGCCGTGAAAGCTAACAACAAGGTCTAAATGAAACACTAGCGCCCACAAAGAGCTTGACTAATATGAAAATCAATGAATACAAAAATACTAAAGATAACTATACTAAACTATAAAGACATGTTAAAAAACAAACCTGGAAAAAATGTAATTAAAACTCATGTAAAAGCGTCTCATCACCGAACGGAAAGCTTTAACTAAATATTCATCCGAGCCCAATGACTAGAACAGAGTAATCGAGAAAAACTGGACAAAAGAAACGATAATACCGATAGAAGTGAATAAACCTGGAAAACCTAATAAAGGCGGTCGATATAAAGCGAACCACAGAAGTAAAGTCGTCATTTTTTAACCTTGGAAACATGGAGCATTTAGTTCAGCGCCAATCGCGTTATTGAGAAGTAGATTAGTATCGGTTGTTTCACAAAATTGAGTTGAAATACGACTTTATATTGTAGTGAATCGCGCGGCGAGTTCAACTTTTGAGAAATTATAATAGAGTATGTGTGAGAAACTTGTAAATTGTCAGAAGGCGAAAAGAATGTAGTACACTTTTGTTTTCCAGTTTTCCGAAATTTTGTAAACTGAACATTTTCTACCAGTTTCACACAATTGATTTTCTCTCAACTTCTCAATAAATCTACTGATAAAATTACTAAGCTGATGCGATATTTAATTTCAGCTCGTTTATTTGATTTTTCAAGCCCTAGGCAGGAGTTCGAGCACACAACACACGTACTCACTTTAAATAAATATTGGAATTTAACTTGCAGCAAATAATATTCGAATTGCAAAGTAAAGCGACTAAAAAATAAATGTGAGTTGGTTGCGAATTTTTGAACCGCCAAATCAACTTTCGTTTGTATCAATTCAAATTTTTTCATAGTTTTAACGATTGGCCAGCAGTCATTCAATTTTGATCAGTTGAAATGTTACACTCTATTAAGTTTTATTGGAAATTAGGGCTGAAAACCGAATGGCTTATTGCAGTTTCATGTGCAATTAGCATATTTAAAATTTCATCTGCAACAACCTGGTGAATTTTGCAAATCGTTCGTTTCACGTGAGCTGATTGCCCAAACACACTGTGTGGTTTAGCTGGGCCAAATCGAAATGCATAAATAATCCCACACTTTACAATCACGGAAAATTCGGGAAAACCGATTGAAAATCCCAATGAGTTAACAACAATTATTCTCCTATGCAGGATGATTTGAAACTTTGATTTGAAGCATTTGAAGCTTTCTTTCCTCGCGAAAGTTGAAATGAAATGCCCCTTTTTTAATTAATAGTTATTATTACTACTATCCAATTATACGCTTTTTAAACCCGTTTTTTAGCTGCTGCAAGGCGCAGTCTGTAGGATTTTATTTAGGCATTGTGCCGCTGAGTGGTTTTTCATTGGCACGATTTCCATTGAATTAAATACTACTTCAAAAGCAGCAAACTGGGGCTGAGTACATAATAGCGCTTTGCTCGAGATCATGTGTGCCGGCAATAAGTAATAAAAGTTTAGAATGGGCAATTTCGTAGTGGAGCGCGCCCATTAAATGGAGAAACGTCTCCGTATGCGATTAAATTAAAGGTGCCATATTTCCAATACAGTTATTAAACAACGTTTATTCGTTCCGCCGAGTGCATTAAACATCGTTTCTCTAATTGCCAAAAAGCACTGAAAACTTCCGAATCAGTAAATCAGGCTGAACGACACCAGGATGGAATCTCTTTGAAAAATCGGGACCGAATGTTCGAATCGCGATCCGAATCCATATTTATTTGCTCCTAAATAGCGGCCATCTAACACGGCCAGCTTACCTATTTTAATTAGAAAAAGCTTTTATCTCACTGTGAGTAAATGTGCCCTTTCTGTGCTCGTTCGGCACGGTCAAATAAATGGAAAATACCCCCAGATTAAGGCGGGTTGTTAGTTAAATTTACCTCCGGTGCTTAGCGGATACAAATCGATTAAATGCAATAAATATGTGTCTTTAATCTGTTGGATTATGAAAAAATCCTGTTTGGGGATTTAAAAAAAAACCTTTTCGACAAATCAAAGGGATTGGGAAAATTTACATTTTTCGTCCAAAGCGCAAGAGTTAAAGCCGATTTTTTACATTTTCATAACGAACTGAGCCACAAGGATTCAATTTTTTATTTAAAATTGTTTTGTTATGAAGTACACAGATATTTTGGGGTGGGAATGTTCTTTAACCTTAGGCCAGACGAAAATAATGGAAAAAGTCACTTTAAAAATGGCGAAAGAGCGACAATTTTTTCCCAAAAAAAATCAAATGGAAAAGGTGGTTTGTAACACCTGAAACAAAAGGGATTTTTATCCTCTATTCGCTGCTCCTTGGCTTTTTGAAATCGGAGCAGCGATTTCTTAGAAATGATAAAAACTTATGTAGTTTTTTCAAAAATTCAACTTTATGCAAACATTATCTAACTGCCTTTAAATCAGCTGGTAAGATGCGCAGAATTATATTCCCGTACTTTCTGGCAATAAAATATTCTAATCTAAAATTCATGACAAACGTTCTGGAAAACTTCTGGCGTTATATTGGCGCATCTGCATAGTTCTGAAACTAATAAGTTCTTCGGGTTTTTAAACAGTGGTGAAAAAGAATTTATTCCTGACGTTTCGCAAGCACCATTGGCTTGCATCTTCTGAGGTGTGTTCGATTTCGGTACAGACATACCATAAAAAATGAAGAAACTCTTCAGTTTCTAATTTATTTGATGTGCCGAGTCCTTCGAGCACTAGCTAATAAAACCTAAATTCAATCTTACAACAATTCTGATCTCTTGAACCAATCAAGCAGAAAATGGATTTTTTATGAAGACTTTATCAAGTTCAACCAGAAACTTCAAAGTTTAGTCTGTACTTGGAAAGCATTCATTCAAGTAGTCTGGAATCGTGAAGGTTTGGTGGGAAATTGTAAGATGGAAATGGCAGACTATTGGATTTCTGCATGCAGCAAACCACCGCTGAAGATGTAAACTGCTTGTGCTTGCAAAACGACAAAAAAAAATGTTTTCTACGAGGGCCTAAAAATCCGAAAAATTATCCAATTAAGCAATGGACGCAAAAGCCCAACTCTTCTGCATAAATCCAGACCTCAGATCTTAGAATTTTTTGGATCGCGTGATGTACACCTCGACTTTTAGGTAACGCCCCTAAAAAATCGATGGGAGTCAAATCAGGTGACCGAAGTGGCCACTGCAATAAATCACGTTTTTCCTCTAATTTTTCTAAAAAAAAAACTTGCAGTAGGAAAATAACCGCCAATAATTTTTGACATGGGGGAAAATCCTAAAAAATGTACTGTTTTCAGTCATTTCGATGCCACCACTAAACCGAGCTGAAAACGCAAAACGACAATGAATAAAGCTTAAAAATGCCTTTCATATGAGATGTCACAAGACTCACGTTTTATTTGATTTTTTTACCAAATTGGGCCATTTTAGAACTGCATTTTCCATATAACTGCGACAGAAATTTTAAAAATATTTCACTTTTTTCAGGAAGTAACTATTGTGGATGTTCCGGATCTGGAGGTGTCTCTCATCCAGAATCGCTAACAGTAACGTTAACTGCCGATAGAGGAATTGGATATGGATTAACGGTGTCAGTAGGAGATCATACCGAAAATCGCTCAGCTGATATTCTCATCACCAGAATCGCCCCAAATTCGCCAGCTTACAGGTGAGAACTCGCATTAAATTCAGACAATCCGATCAAAATGTTCTCGCTCCCAAGTGTTTTTATTAGTTTACTGTTTTCAATTTGTTCGTTGCCTGCCCATCTTAGTTCAGCGCTCAGCATCGAAATGCAAAAGCAACATTTACCCGGAAATATCAATACAGCTGCACTTGCCCGCATATCTCCGGAAAGGGATATTAACATTGAAAGAATCGAGGCAAAGGATATTGGGGAAAATCGGCCCAATTTTCTCAATTTTTCAAAATAGCTAATTCAACGTTTGAACAAAGAAACAGTCGATTTTCAGCTAATTTACAACAGTACGACAACAGTTTGCAAATCCAGTCGCATATTATCCAGTTCTGCGCTAGATTTGTCAGTCAATTTAAATTATTCCCATACAATTAGCATTGCAGGCTGGCTTAAGGAGGCTCACTTTGATATTCGGTAGGCGCAGTCGGCAGGATGATAATGCATGATACTCAATTATTTATGACAGATTGTCGGACCGGTAAACTGAAATTATTGCAGTTAATATCGCAAATCTTCCAGGCCTTAGATTGCCAACGCTAATGTCACAGCTTGCATATCAAACCATGGGTTAAATCGAGTTAATGTGGCTATTAGATGAGTCTTGATGTGATTTTACCAGCTTTCAGTTCAAAAGTTGCGTGAGTTTTCGGAGGATTTTTGCTAAGGGTTTTTAGGTCCAAAATTATTTGCGAAAATCATGATTTCTTGCAGTTTTAATTGCAGATTTTAATAATTTTAAGCTTGTTGGGGAGGTAAAGTATAAACAAATGTGGGAGAGGGCACCATTGCAATATTAACATTTTTTTGTTTTTATTCGAAAAGTTTATGACATCTTGGGCGAAGGTAGATAAAATTTTCTAGTTAAAACTTATAAACCGCAGCTTGATATCTTTGTTTGCTTCAGAGTTATTGCCAAAAGAATCAAACTATTACTTTTGCTCCAAATTGAGCCCTATACCAAAGTTGTTCAGAACTACCCCTCTTTAGTCAATACGAAATTCAAACGCACCGAGATTTTTCTTCAAAGCATGCTGAAAATGGCAAAAATCGGAAAAGCGGTTTAGAAGTTACAGTGATTTAAATGTTTTCATTTTCAATTGCTTCGCCCACGTTCATCAAGCGTGGTAAAATTATGCAAAAATAAACACGCTTTCTAAAGAATCCGGAACTTTAAAACTATTTCCATGTTTTCCGCATGGCATTTTCCATTGTAGTAATAAATTTATTCTCCCTAAATTTCCAATCCCGGTAGTTTTACCCTTAAAGAAACACTCTCTAAAACAATGTAAAGCAAGTACAATTTTGAAGACGGTGCTAATAGCGCGCGTTTTTTTGGGAAAATTCATAAACTGTATTCAAGTGAACAGTGAAAGAAAAATAAATTTTGGGTTTTTGTACAAGAGGCTCTTAATAATTTCAAGAGTGCAGACGTTGAGTTTCGCCCGGATTTCGGTTGATTTTTGAGAAATTTTCAAAACTTGCTTTAAAAACCGATTGATTAATAGTACACAGCTGTCTTTATAATTAAAAACATATAGTGACCGGCAGGTAAAGTAAGTCAAATCTTCAATTTGCTTAGAAGAGGCTTTAACTATTAAGGGTGCAGAACAAGAATTCGTTTCGCAGAAATTTCTCGTGCATTTTGAGAAATGTTTAAAATTAATTAGAGAAATTAATAGCGCATGGTTGCTTTTGAACATGTCTAAAGGTTAAATAACCAAAAAAGTTCTGCCGAAGAGTCTCGAGTTCTTAAGGGTGCAAACTTTTAGTTTTTGGGAATTCCCGTTGATTTCTGAGAATTTTTCATAGTTTGCTTTAAATACTGCTGTTTTAATAGTGCGCGGTTGTCGTTAAAATTAACAAAATGTATCCAAAGACCGCTAAGCAAAAATAAATTTGGATTTTGGTAGGAGATTTTTGATTGATTACGAGTACAGTTTTCCAGATACTGCTGTCTGAAAAATGCGCGGTTTTTGTGAGAATTCCTAAAATGTAATTGAGGTAGGTAAAGAAAATAAATTTTTGACTTTGATAGAAGAATCTCGAATCATTAAGGATGCAGATTTTCAGTTTCCCAAAAATTTCTGCTGATTTCTAAGAATTTTTTACAATTTGCATTAAAAATGAAGTCTTAATAGTCTGCGGTTGTCTTTGAAAATTCATAAAATATATCAGGGGTTCAAAAAAGAAATATATTTTTATAGAAGAGCCTGCGTCAGAAATTTCAGTTTGTTTTCGGAAAATAGGAACTTTCGTTTACTTTTGGGTTTTCCAATTTGCTTTAAAAACTACCCTTCTGATTGTGCGCGGTTGCTTTCGACAATTCATAAATTGTTATCAACGGCTTTGGTTGTTAGATTTTCGCAGAAGAGTCTGGAACCTTCACATCCATGCCGGTGCAAAAAAAACATTATAAAGTGCGGGGTTCATGCTATTTTCACGCTTAACCCTGTTGATGAGAGCTAATAGGCTCGAAGCCGATTCCGGAGGCTCCATCTTCAAAAATGCACTGCTTAAACCAAGAATGAGTCTGAGCAGTGTTGTTATTGCAAACTAGAATTGAACATTTTCGCCCAACGAAATAGATCGATTTTGTGCTTTGTCCCCAAGTGCAATTCGCCCGTACATGCAACATAACAATGTGATACACATTTAGTAAGCGCACCGCGGTAATTCTTCCCCTGGAAACCATAAGAAGATCGTGGCAGCAAAATTGTAAACTCTGAGGAATAATAGGGCTCTTTGCGACTGTGTCGACACGGCAAGCTGGAAGTTAAAATTTGTATTTCGCTCAAGATGTTCCATCCCAGGTGGACAATGCGAGATAGAAGCCACATACTAACCCGAAATTTGCGAGCAAAACTTATGTGTATATTTTGCTTGGATCGGTTTGCGTATTAACATCCCGGGTTATTCCAAGAAAATGTGAGCACTTTGACAACAAAAGATGTGAATATCTGAGCTTGGCAAATTAAAATCAAAGTGATGGAATTAGAGTTCCGGAATAAATTATAACCGAACTGGCATTCGTCAGTCATTATCCTGGAAACAACAAAACCGTTCCTTTTCAATAAGACTGGAGTTTGGGAAGATTTCCGGCTCGGCGTGTACTACTAATTAGCATAAAGGCACAATAGACGGAAGCTAATAACTCGCTCTACTTCCAGCTCGGTCCAGGACATAAATCCGGTAAATTTCCAGAGCAAACAATGATCCAGCGTTGTACGCAGCAGATTGCGGTTCGTATTGTTTAGCCCCATCATACACCAGTTACTCTCAATATGCATCAAAGGTAAATACGCACGGATTAATGGCGCTTTGTGCAATTGAAATGCAAGAAAAACCTCCGGAACGTCTACAATAAACAGGAATAGGTTCAACTAAACAGGGAATCGCGCCTGATGGGTTTGTTAATGGACAATCAGCAAGCAGCTGTTTAAGTGAGGCTTTTGTGGCCACAACATTTTAAGCACAAAAAACTGCTACTTCTGAGCAGTTTTTTTTAGGAATGATGCTAAAAAATCACGCAAAAAACCAGCTGCAGAGGGGGAATTCAAGATTTCATCTGTTCAGTCGGGTTCAATTTGCTTCCTTCGGAGAAGATCAGAGCATTATATTTTAAACAGAGAAAATTGTGCGTAAAGTTTCTAAAGAATTTATGTTGTTTAATGATCTGAAGATTCGGCAAACAACAAAATCTGTGTGGATTTTCAGTCAATTTGGGCAGCTTTTTTTGCAGGAACGAGCGTAGACGGTTAATAAAAGTGTGGGGCTCATTTTACTTTGAAACAAAAATCTACCAAAAAAGGACTCGAGCTCTTCACATGTTGTTTAATGATCTCGCTGAGCTCCTGACTCGCTTCCTAACAACGAAAACTAAATGGATTTTAAAGGATTTTCAGCTTCTTAATTTCTTCACAGAATTGACGGCTTGTAGCCGCTTCACAAGACATCTGGGCTGGTGACAATTTCAGAAAATATAAAGCAAAAATGCAGGCAAAGTTAAGCTCGCTAAGCTCCAGGCTCAGTTTCTAAGGATTGAAACTATATAAATGTTGATGCATTTTGACCGCTTGTAGACGCTTTAAAAAGTTTCGTGCTAGATTCAATTTAAAATAAATAATGAAGCAAAAATGTGATCCGAGTGATTAAATGGTGTTTTATGAGCTCATTAAACATCTGGTTCGCCTCCAACCGGTAAAACCAGAAAGTTCTTAAAATCTAGTAAAGTTCAAGGAAATTTTGAAAATCTTTCCAAAAYCAACGAAGATTTCTKCAAAATTTAAATTCTGYWCTTTCAATGATTTCAGGCTCTTCTRCGAAAATCCTAAAAAWRTTTTYCATCATCGGCCCTGGATTATATTTTATGAATTTTCAAAGACSACCGCGCACTATCAGAATAGYAGAWRTKGGAGAAATTTTTAAAATRAAGAAAAAAWTCCTGAGCAARCTGAAATTTTGAWAGCCTATTMATTCTAGCCTCTTCTAGAWRAAKTCRAACTTGTGTTTTCTTTACCGGCCTCCGATTACATTTTATGAATTTTTAAAAACAACCGCGCACTATTAAGACAGCAGCATTTAAGTAAATTRYAAAAAATTMCCAAAAATWACCGAAAATATCTGGGAAACTATCAYTTCGTACCCTTCATAACTCGAAACTCTTCTACAAAAAAAATGTTTTCATTTGCATGCCCTTGACTACATTTTGTGAATTTTTAAAAACAACCGCGCACTATGTACAGTATTTAAAGCAAATTGTAAAAAATGCGCAGAAATCATCACAAATTCCTAGAAAACTGAAATCTTGTACACTTAATGAATCAAGAATTTTCTTCTAAAACTCCAAATTAATTTTTATTCGTATTCTTTGCTTAAATTTTATGAATATTTAATAACAACGCGCACTATTGAATAAGAAAATTTTTCAGAAATCATCAAAATTTCATGAAAAACTGAACTTTTGTACTTTTAATAAGTCAAGTCCCTTCTAGGAAATCATTTTTTTTAATTTTATTTATCGGTTATTGATTCAGTTTATGAATTTCCATAGAAAAGCGCGCGATAGTAAGACAGCACTTTTGAAAAGGAAGTTCCTGCGAAACTTAAAGTTTGTCTCCCTACTAATTCGAGGCTCTTCTATAAACTGGAAAAGTTTATTTTTCGTTAGCTCCCTTTTATTACATTTTATGGATTTTTAAAGACAACCTAGCACTAATAAGGCAGCAGTTCTGATAAAAAAAATTGAAAAATTCTCAAAAATTGGTACCAAATTGAAATTTGGCATCCTGAATAACTGGAGCCTCGTCTGGTAAAATCAATTTTTTTCTGTACCTGCCCCTCATTAAGTTTTAGAAATAAGAAATAATAAAAACAACTGTGTACCATTAGCCCAACAACTTTGTAAGCAATTCTTGAGAAATTCTCAAAAATCAACCGAAATCCCTACCAAACTCAAATTGTGCTCTCTTAATAATGCAAGCCTCTTTTGCACATATTCAAAATTTCCATTTTCTCCCTGTCGTTAATAGCATTTTATGAATTTTTAAACACAACCGCGCACTATAACGACAGCAGTTTACAGAGGGATTTCTCAAAGTTTTGTGTTTTTTTACTTTAAAATAAATTTAAAGAAAAGGAAGCTAAGCGTTCAAAAATCAATTTTTGTCAGTTTTGAGTAAAGATTTTGAAGAAGAGCGGATTGTTTAATGAACTTATTGAGCTTAAAGACCAATAAATTTGGAGAGTTTCATGCAGCTGATTTTTTACATGCACATATTAAGTAGTTCCACGTTTTTTAAACACGTTGGTTTTTAGCTCAATAGATTCGATTCGACCTAGAGGCCAACCAATGTCGAAAAATTGACTCAATTTGAATTTTACCGTATTTTTTCACCATTAGATTCTATTTATAATTGTATTATTCATCTTTTCACTTGAGGTAAAGGGGTCAGGCCTTCCTATTGATCCCAAGCCCAAATGAATTGGATGAAATTAAACCCAAACTGATAAATAACTTAACTGACTGTAGCTCACTTTCCACGAGTGCGATTTCCCACAAAATTAATCAAACGAGAGCAGATGCTTCAGTAGTTCTTTAAAACGTACGAACATTGATTTAAAGCGCTAATAACAGGTAGTTATTGCTTGCAATAAATTGGAAATTGGCGGAATTTTACCGAGGCCAGCACGCGACTGGTCATAAATAATCAAGCAATCAAATAAGGGAAAAAATGTGAAAATCTCATATTAGTCTTGTTCAGTGAGCCTGTTTATTTAACTGGCCGTTAATCATGAATATGCAATAACGGCAGCGCTTAGAGGGATGGCAAAAATCAATCCGAAAATCGCTTTCGACATTGTCTATAATCGAATTTGGGGCGAAATTTATTGGCAGCAGTGAACAGGAAATAAGCGCGTTCGCTGTTTGGCGTCTATGGGCTCTTTATGCTAATTTCTGCGCAATTTCTAAAGGGTAAACAAATTCAGTGCCAGATAATTAACGAAGGATCATCATTGAGGAGGAGTTTAATTAGTTTAAAAGTTATGGTTTTTCAACCGCGCTTTTACAATATAATGTAGTTATTTTAGGGCAAGAGCCTCTCAGGCCAAGCATATAGTTGTAGGGCCTAATTGAGAGGCTATGATAGTAATGAACATTTCCCCATTCGATTAGAACTACTTTTGCGTATGCCCTAATTGCACCGGTATGCAATTAGCGTCAAACTCGGCCGTTAAATAACCCACTAGTAATACTGGTTCTATTATCCATTATTACCTTAAATTTGCGGTAATTATTGGAATGGAAGCCTGGCGATTTATAACAATCCTTCCTTTCAATTTGGGGTTTAGGGAAAAATTTGCTTTGCACTCTAATCTTGCCTATTGTCTACATCATTTATATTGGGCTTTTGTTGGATTTTAATCAGGCAAAAGTGAAAACTTTACCAAGCAGAGCGAGGAATTGTAGAAAATTTAGTTCAATAAATAAGCCTGCAGTAGTTGAAGGACTTTCCCTATTTATTATTCAATCGTAGATTCTTCGGCGCCAGTCGAAAATTCTTGGGGCTGAAAGAAACATTAAACAGTTTAAAGACATCCTGTACAGGATCCTCAGAGAATCTCCCCGACTTTCTCCTTTATAACAATTTTGTCCGATGAAACTCAACTTGCTCAAAATGCCTCACATTCCACACATGTTTATGGGCACAAAACGTGCACATTTCACTTTGTTCTTACGCACGAAAAGCCACAAAACGAATAACAGCAAATTAACAGCCACATTGTATAATCGGGAAAATTACGTTTCCCGGTTTGGTTGCTCGAGCTTGTAAAGCATTTTCTCCATATTCAGGCCTGGAACAAAGCAGGACTTGTACGAGTCTTTGTACGTGAAGGGTACATTTACAGCCCGGGGTGTTTAGGAACGGAAACCTCCAGTGGGCGTTTTTCTAATTTCCAATTAATTAATAATTAATTATCTTTCCGAAATTTCATGTGATTTTTTTCCAGATGTGGTTGCCTTCAAGTGGGCGATCGAATCGTCTCGGTGAACCACCAAACGAATTTAACCCTCCAAGAAATCACATCAATCCTGGAAATGGGTGCTGATGCCACTGGGGGTCGGACAGTCACTATTTCTTCGGAATTTGATGTGGCGGACACAATTGTGCCATCCAGTGGCGTTTTCACTGTCCGATTGGCCAAAAGGGGGCCAGGACTGGGAATTACTATCACAGGTGAGACTATGTTGTGACTAATTTTCAAGCTTAAAACGGATTAATTTCAAAGTGTAAAAATAGCGGTGGGAATGGCTGGCATATTTGGAAAAAACTGACTTTGAAAAATCCAATATTATTTTTGGATCACACTGCGTAAATTAGTTTACCACAAAAGAAGCCAAGCGCCAAGCATTTTTCCAAAAAACAATCCGACTGAATTTCTAATGAATTCAAACATCACTTCTAGGACTCACTGTATAGGTATGGAAGTTTGTCAAAGGAAAAGCTGCGGTTTGCGGTTTCGGTCCGGCTGTTCCACCTATGGAATATATATTATGCTGGCTGGCCAGTTTCGTAGCCCCGAAAGCCAATATGTGGTCACCATATGAATCAAACATTTTCGTTTGCTTGTTTTCGATCGGTTTATTGGCCCTTAGAGCAGCAATTATCTGCATTGAAATCAGGTCGGAAAGTTCGCAGTTTTCGGCCGAAAGTACCTCAAGTTTCCCCTTAGACGTTCTTTATCTCTCGTGTCCCCCGAAACGAAATATCGACGTTCAAATCGCACAACAACGCCAAAACTCTGCAATGTGCGATGAAGCCGAAATCACTCCCTAATGGTCACTATTTGTGGGAAACACGTTGCAACGCGATTATCAAGAATCCAGAATCAAATGCTGTGGCCCATTTATGAGACTTATTACGCTTAAACGCAACTGTTGCCTCCATTTGAAATGTTCGTCTTGATTAGCACAAAATTGAGGCTGGGAAACGGCATTTTATCAGCGTGCAGAGATTGCTGGATTTTTGAAAATTATGTGAAATTTGTAGTTATAAAATCTAATTTTTGGGAGGAAATTATCGGTTTTATTGATCTAACTCCCTTGGATTCTCTGGTCGATGTCTACACTGAAAGAACTGCTTGGATAGTCAAAAATCTCAATTCAGAACGAAGAGAAAAGCGAGGCAGTTTCCTAAAATCAGTTTTACTTGGTTTTGAATGAAAATTATAATGAGTGTAGTTTGAACCCGTTAATTCTCGCTATCTAAATTCGGAAACCTTTAGGAAATAATTAACGGCTTTTTCGGCAATTTTTATGAACTTTGGGACGTTTTTTTTCAAACACGCGAGTTTTTGCGTTATGAGCGCCAATAAGGGCATTTCTTGGTCGATATTTTAGTGGGATGTCAAAATTTTTGCTATCTGCAACTACACTGAAAAAACTGCTTTCATAATTCAGTTTTTGACTTCAGAATGAAGAACACGTCCAGAACAAGTTTATGAAAATCAGTTTCACTTTGTTTTCAATTAATATGATAATGAGGGATTTGAGGTTTTTCCGGCAATTTTGATTAAATCAAGCACACTAAGCGATTTTATGAGCCTTTTGTAG